TGAAAAACCGCATGCCAAAAATTAGGTGAAAAGGAAAAATTTCTAAAAACATAAAAACAACTAAGCTGGTTCAAGGAGGTATGGAAAGCCTGATTAGTGCCACAGCAAGAGTTTAAATTAGGAATTGAAACTTCTCACAAAGAAAGGCCCAGGCATGGAGGGTTTCATTGATGAATTTTATGAACTGGTTAAGGAATTAATAACAATTATTCAAAAACTCTTCCAAAAATACAAGAAAGGGGAACACGAGCCGCTCATTCTAAAAGAGAAACATGAAAAGTCAAATGTAGCCCAATAGCTTCTATGAAACTAGATGAGAAACAAGATTGCAACAGAGTACTAGCAAAATATTAAGAGGATTAAACTCCATGGCTAACCAGTATTCATCCCCAAAATCCAAGGGATTCTTCACCTATGGAAATTCATTATCGTAATGCCCCATATTAATAAAATAAAAGATAAAACCACATGATTATTTCGCTAGTCACATCGAATGTTTTCATGTAAGCAGACATTACTTCCTGTTGTTTTCCCATTCTTGTTAAAGCCTCATAAAATGTACGATTCATGGTGCCATCGGATGCGGTGTTCCTTCACGCAAACTGAATGCCTCATATCCAATCGTGATGATACTTAGCAATAAATGCTAAAAGATTGTAATTTTGTGTCAGAGCCTGCTTCCTTGGCAAGTAATAAGCACAGGCATCTGAAAGATAAGTAGGATTTGGGCAGGTATTGGACGAGGAGGTGAGTCACACACAGAAAAAGAAAATCTCAAAGATGCCTGAACATGGAAGACGGCATAATATGTCTAAGAAATAAACAAAGCCCAGGCTAACTGGAGCTGAATGGAAACAAGGCAAACAACATGAGCCATCTGTTTCTCTCTAGACAACACACTGAGACACCTCCTCCCGACATACCACACATGTGGACTGTGAAGACGTCTGTTCCTAAAACATTTCTTGTGGGTCGTAACAGGGTGTAGCACCTGAATCAAGCTCAGTTAAATGAGGACAGGGCAGTTAACCAGCAAGCCCAGGTGGCCTAAGGAGCACATCAGGGAGACAAGACCATGTTGTCAAAAGCAGAGGATGTGAGATTTTCCATTGTGGTTGAGACCAGAGCATTGGAAATGTCAATGGGTACACGAAAACCACATAGGGTCTGGTTAAACTGCAGACACAGCCTCTGCAGGTTTTAGTGTGGCCCCAGATTCTCTATGGCCAATAGCCTCCCAGGAAGTTGATTGATGCTGGTCCTTCAAGGAACACACTTTGGGTGGTTTAGCTCCTGTGCACCCTCCTCACTCAGCACGGCTGAAACTCACCTACAAAACGCACCTTCTGAGAAGCATAAGTGACCTAGTTCTCCTCCACTAACATGCCTCAGTCCCTTTTGCTAAAATGGAATATCTGAATCTGGGTAATTTGTAAAGAAGAAAAGGTTTATTTGGGCCATGCTCCTGACATCTGTAAAGTTCGACAGTGAGCATCTGCATCCAGGGAAGACCTTGAGCTGCTTCCTCTCCTGACAGAAGGTGAAGAGGAGCCGGTGTGTGCAGAAATCAATGGGAAACAGAAGGCAGGTTCTTTACCAAAAGTGCTGCAGGAATTTAATGATCACATTTATAGACTGTTTTACACAAACCTGACACACCTTAGCTGCTCATGAGCTGGCAGCAATGATTGCTGATGTCATTCATGGAACTTGGACCTCAGATGGAGAAACTGCAGCGCAGAGCGTTTGAAAAGGTTAGGGACAAGAAAGACGTCAGTGACTTAAATCCAGTTCTAGGAGCCGAGGAGAGCCACCCTGCTTTTCCCACGTCTCAGAAACTGCTTCACTGTGAAGTCTTCCCCCGGGGTCTCTTCTCCTCAGTGGCACCAGCACTGCCCTATTGACCAGCAGTCCCCATTCAGGCCTCTACGCTGCCTACTGTGAATGGTCACAGATCACAAGCTGATGCCAACATTGTACAGATCATCTTGACAGTTTCGGCAAAACTGGGGGCCTCCTCACAGAACCAGGAAGTCACAAGCAAGGCCAGCTCTAGAGAAGCAACTGGGGGAGTAACATGCATCAGAGCACCCGGACACACAAAGGGATTTTGCTGTAGTCCTACTGGGACACATCCTGGTGATGTCTCTGAGAACCAGTCCAGGTCCTTGGAACAGAAAGCCCACTAAACAGGACAGTAGGCTGGGAGGTTGTGCAGTTTGTGCCAGGTGTGAGCTGTGTTGATTGTGCCTGCCTGTGTATGTATGTACATACGTGTACCTGTGCATTTGATGGTGCAAGAATGGCTTGTCAGTGTCAAGTGTCCCAAACTCAAAACTTTCCTGTTTTCCTAAATTTTCTCCTTGTATCTTTACTACCTTCGTACTTTCATAAGAATAAGGACAATGATTGGGGTAGAAATAGGAGGAGGAGGAATGATGTGTTTAATTACTCATTCATGTGTGTTTCATACATACCAAGCACTCTTCGAAACAATTCATATTTACTAAATCGCTCAATATCAACCACTCCATGAGCCAAATATTGACATTATCTCTCTACTTCCAGTTGGAGAATCTATGATATAGATTTTGAGACATGGAAAAGCCAAGGCAAAGAAAGGAAGAGCAACTTGCCTGATGTCAGAGCTAGAAAGTGGCTGACCCGGGAGCAGAACCTGAGGTCTTCCAGTCCCAGAGATCCTGTTCCTTAACACCACACTGTGGCCTGTTGCTGTGCTTTAAGGGAAAGCATTGGCATCTCCTTAAGACTCCAGAAAGTTCTCTGTACTTTTCAAAATCAAGTAACTCATATTTGCAGTGATCTGCAGTGCAGTAGGAATACTCTGGTGTTGAGGGTTCTACTAGAACTATAATTTCAATGATTTTAAAATTTTTCAGTAGCCACATTTAAAAAGTAAAAAAGAACAGGTGGAATAAACTTTCATATTATATTTTGTTTAAATGACATTATCCAAATATTATTTCAATATGTAATCAACGTAAAAATATTGAGATATTTTATGTTATTTTCATACAACCTTTTTGAAATCTGGTGCATTTTACACCCACATCACATCTTAACTTGAACTACCCACATTTCGAAAACTTAGTAGCTCCCTGGGACTTATGGCTGCTATAGTGGACAGAGCAGATCCAGATGAATGATGGTCCATTGGATCACAGCCTCTGCGGTACATACTTAGAACCATCTTGGGGTAATGGAGAGTCCCACGACCCAGAGGGCCTCCCTAAAGGAGAATGGATGTCCCGTTTTCCAACCGCAGTAGAAACACAAGGGCTCTCAGAAACGAGGGGATTTTTACAACGTGTTTCGCACTTCTTCTCTTCTCAAAGACATTGACTATAACTTCCAGTTTGAAGATAAATCTGAGCCATTAAAGCCATGTTTTTCTACTGGTCAGTGGAATGAATGGCAATGGTCCCTGTGAATTGTGCTCCAAGGATCCCTTTCAGTGGAAAGATCCTTACCATAAAACCAACTAAAGGTAGGAAGTTATTATTTATACAGAGATCTGGATGAAAAGGGGCTGATCATGAGGAATATAGTATTGAAGCTGAGTGTGTTGCTATCTTCACAAAGGGCTATTTTTGCCTGACTCACAAGCATTGATCATTTTTATGATGGTGCATTTTCCCAGGGTGGTCTTAGCAAATTACATCCAATGCTGTATCAGGACCCACAAGCAAGGGTGTCAGAACTGACCGGCCTGAGTGGTCATCAGGGACCAATGTGGAGACTTTGAGGTATCAAGTGACAGGAAAAGTGGAAGCACTGGTTGGGAAGTGCATGGGGGAGCTGCAGTGACGTGCCCAGCCAAGTACAGGAGCAGGCATATCGGTGTCATGTGACCTCTTACCTCAGCTATCTCTTTACACCAAACTCTAAGGTGCAATGTGTGGACGCTTCTGTCTGTACCCATGGACACCTTGGGGCTTCACACATTCTTTCCATTTCTAATGGGCCAGTGTTTTGTTCATGAATTCATTTCATCACATTCTCGGTAGTTCTAGGTTGGAAAAGCAATACATGTATCTAAGATAACAGGAAGGAAATATTCTGCCACTTGTATTCACTAAGGTTAAAATGTTTCAGTATCTAATGTGACAGTTGTCCAAATTCAATGGCCTCCACCTTGTTAGAAATGGTATTCCAATCCTAACTTGTCTGGAGAGGAGCCTGGCTTGAGGAGCACGACCAGACATCTGGATGTCCCTGATGTCACCGCTAAGACATGCTCCTTTGTCACTTGCCATAAAGGGAGCAGGCAGAGCATCTACGCCTTTGTCCAAAGGACTCGAAGGACATTGTATCTGATTAAAAAATGTAGGGCCGTGATACGTGGGTCCAGGGTCCTGGAGGATGGAGGAGAAGAAGATGGGGCATAGGGTAGGAGGCGGGGCAGGGAGGAGCTGGAAGGTCAGGCTCTGAGGATGGATGAAACCCTGACTCCAATCGCTACTCTCTGGGAAAATTTGATAAATCTTGTAACTTCCTGATGTTGATTCTGCCATGAATAAGCTGAAGGAGAGGCTGTGTCTTAAGTGTATGCTTGCTGTGGGGCTACTGTGAATGTGTGGTTGAGGTGGTGCCTGTAAAACACTCTCCAAAGGGCCTGTCACATATTAATGTCTCAAAGGAGTCATTCTGCTTTATCTAGTGATACATGAGGACGACATTCCTCTTGTGTGCACTAGAGGGCACTGTGTGCCTTGTTTTGAGGACCCTAACGACTTCCCTGGTAGGGCTCAAGTGCAAAGGGCATGACTGATGCATCCTTTGAGGCCCCTTCTATTGGGTAAAATTCATGCTCCACTCATGACACCCACTTGGCCCTTCTCCTGACCTTGAGAAATTGCCAACGTGAAGTCCTCAGACTCAGGGCTCAGACAGTATCTCAGACAGACATGCTGGGAAGTGGAAAGCAGATTTGCATTCATAGCCCCTCCCTTCTTGAGCTTCAAAAAGGTAAGACAGGAGGCTCTTGTGTCCAGGTTCCACTGGGCAGCCTCACACAGAGCTGTTGGAAGTCTCTCCAACCATGGCCTGGGTCTCTTTCTGCCTCCTGCCTTTCATTTTCTCCACAGGTCAGAACATCCCAGGGAATCCAGGGAAACCCTTTCACAGCTATTTTCCCATGAGCACCACTCCTCATGAGCACCTTTTCCAGTTCTCCTGTGCATTCAGCATCGTTCATGAAATTCTATGTTTCCAGGTCTCTGTGCTCTGCCTGTGCTGACTCAGCCCCCGTCTGCATCTGCCTCACTGGGAGCCTCGGTCAAGCTCACCTGCACCCTGAGCAGTGAGCACAGCAACTACTTTATTCACTGGTATCAACAGAGACCAGGGAGGTCCCCCCAGTATATAATGAAGGTTAACAGTGATGGCAGCCACAGCAAGGGGGACGGGATCCCCGATCGCTTCTCAGGTTCCAGCTCTGGAGCTGACCGCTTCCTCACCATCTCCAACCTCCGGTCTGAGGACGAGGCTGACTATCACTGTGGAGAGAGCCACACCATTGATGGCCAGTACGGGTAAGCCACAGTGACACAGACAAAGGGGAAGCGAGGTCAAAACTTCCCATCTCCTGCTTCTCCTCGTGGACTCAGAGTGAGAAGCCCCAAGCCCCTCTCCAGAACCCTGAGAATGATGACTCCGCCCCTTGCAAATCTCATCATCCCACATATCCTCCCTCAAAACAACTCTAGGCAGAGGCAGATGCAGGCCACGACCGAGGAAAACTCATCATTCTGTTTCCTCCACACCAGGCTGTGGGGAGAGGCCAGAACAGCCCAGGCAGGAAAAGGACCCTGAGAGAGGGGCCAGGCTGGGATGACCGCGTTCACTGAGTGCCACTGCACCCTGTGTCCCGTCCTGGGACTCTGACTGAGGAGGAATGTGAATCTTGGCATGTCTCCATAATGTATGAGAACTGTAGTTGTGCGAATCCTCATTAGCACTTGATATCATTGTCAGTTTCTATTTAAAGTCATTCTAATAGATCTGTAGTGATTCTCATCGTGTTTTTAACTTGTCTTTTCTTTCTCAGAGGCATCATGCTGAGCAACTTTCCAGGTGCTTATTATCTGTGTATCTTCCTTAGTGAAATGTTTAATCAAATTTTGCCCGCTTTAAAATTCAGTTTTCCTCAGAGTCCCCTTCGTGCAATAGCTTTCAAAATTGTTGGACAAATAAAAGTTTTTCTGACATTTAAAAACTTACAGAACTGGTCACCATCAGACTCTTGCTATTAGAATGGTAAAGGATATCTCCAGACAGAAGGAAAGTGATCACGTTGAAATGTGAATTTACACAAATTAGTAAAAAGATCAGGTCAGGCCCAGTGGCTCATGCCTGTAATTTCAGCACTTTGGGAGACTGAGATGGGAGGATCACTTGAGGTCAGGAGTTTCAGCTATGATTGCACTGCTGCACCCCAGCCTGGGCGACGTATTAAGACTCTGACTCTATAAAAAAAAATAAAAATTAAAAACACACCAGATATGGTAACTGCATGGATACTTATGGAAACCTCATATCTTGCGTTAATGTCTATAAAATACAATTAGCTCTTCAAAAATAAATTAATAAAATACATTGTGATTTATAATGAAAATAAAAGTAAATTATATGACAAAGGGATCACAAAAGCTGAGATGGGTAAAGAATATGTCATCAAGGTCACACTATATAGGAATGTATAACACTTGCAGGTAGATTTTCATAAGTTCTTTATATGATATAAACACTAAAAAAGCCATTAAAACAAAACTCTGAACAAAAAAGAATTATAACTAATAAGCTATATTAGGATTCTCCATAGAAACAAAATCAAAAGGATATGTGTGTGTATAATATTCATATGTATTTATGCTTATGCGTGTATGTCTGTATGTAGAGAGAAACTTATATTAAGAAATTGGCTCATAGGATTGTCATGTATGACACGGATGAAATCTCATGGACAGGCTGGAGGCTGGAAATTCAGGTAAGAGTGGATGTTGTGGCCCTGAGCCTGTATTCAGCAAGGCAGGACTTCAGGAATCCTCAGTTTGCTCCAAACACGTTCTACTCATTAACAAGGCCAACCACATCGTGATGAGTAATCTGCTACACAAAGTCTACCAGGTTAAATATGAGTCACATCTGAACAATGTCTTCACAGCAAGCTCTATGCTGGTGTTGAACAAAATCAACCCAACACCACATCCTAGTCAATCTGACACTTAAAATTTGCCATCACTTAAGCCAACAAGGAGACAGAAAAGAATACTTTTTTAAAAAACCAATCAAACACCAAGACAGAGAAAGGGAAAGGACAATGAACATATGGCACAAACAGAAAATAGAGAGCAAGAAGGTATATTTCAATAGAATGACATGACTGATCACATTAATTGTAAATGGTCTAAATACAACAACTATAAGTCAGATGTTGTCAGATTGAAATTAACAGCAAGACTCAACTATACATGCTGCCTAGAAAAACACCCACTTTAAAGTTTAAAATCACAAAAATCCATGTAAACATCAAAGACAATCCTCCCCCTAAACACATGCACACCCCTACCCACAGTGTGCTCCACAAAACGGGACAAAGAATTCACCGCAGACTCTGAACCAGTTAAGACATATATGCGTCACATTTCCCAACTCCCCTTTCTCTACAGCCTCTAAGACCTAGGTCCTGGTGCCAGAAAAGTGAGGCTCTCAAATGTTAAATCAAAGTGAATAAGAGAGACCCTCGAGAAGTAAGGAAAAAGAGAATGAGAGTATAGAAGCCACATGGCCCCACATGCATAGTGACAGCTCCTGCCTGAGGATGTCCACGTTCACAGTGGACACAGGTCTGTAGTGTTTCTGTCATGTGCTTGTCTGGCTTTGGTGTCAGAGTAAAGCAGGCCCCAAAGAGAAAGTAGGAACATGTTCCCTCCTCGTGCATCTTCTGAAGGAGTTCACGTGGGATTGATATCTTTACTTCCATAAAAATTTGATAGTGTTTGCCAGTGAAGCCACTTGGAACTGGGTGAGCTTTTTTAGCGGGAGGAGTTAACTGTTAACTCAGAATCTTTATGTGTCATAAATCTATTCAGATTTCCTACTAAGGAGTGAGTTTTGAGAATTTCTGTCTGTCCAGGCATCTGCCCACTTCATTTGAGTCATCTATGCTTTTGGCATTGATTGCTTATACTGTTGCCTATAACCGTACTTTGATAAGGTTGGTAGGGATGCCACTCTGTCAGTCACATTTTTGGTAATTTTGGTCTGTCCAGGACAGACCACAGGCCAGAGAAGTTTGGGACAGTGGCCATGTGGCCAAACCCTGGAATGGTGACTGTGACCAGAGGCCTTGGAAGTTGAAGATGATTTTCTGACCAGAGAAGCAGATGGAGGAAGCTGGGGGACCCACCCCTTCCTCCTTTGTTCCTGTGCTGCCTCAGAGCTGCTTTGAGTGACATCCCTCAATAAGGAGTCCCAGAGGATGTACATTTGCATAAATACCAAACACTCACTGCCCCAAAGGGCCTGAGAGAGGATACAACAGACCTGGGGAGCGCAGCTGTGCTGTGGGCTCAGGAGCCAGAGCTCTAGGTATCTCACCAGGGCCTAGACCCCTCTTCTGCTCCCCCCCTCACTCTCTGTACAGGTGCTGCCGCCAGGCCCTGCCCTAGACTCAGCTCCAACTGAGCTGAGACTGCCCAGAACCCTAAGCTCCGCCCAGGCAGAGATACTGGGCGGAGATACCGCCTCAGGGAGAGATACTCTGGGAATAGGTTCTTCATCTTCAAGCCCTCTCTCCTCCCCTCTTTTGCAGGTTCCATGGCCTCCTATGAGCTGACACAGTGGTCATCGCTGTCAGTGTCCCTGAGTCAGATGGCCAGGATCACCAGTTATGGAAATATAGTAGGGAAAATTATGCTCATTGGTACCAGCTAAAGCCAGGCCAGATCATTGTGCTGGTGATACATACAGATCACTCCCAGCCCTCAGGGTCTCTTAGTGATTACTGGGGTCTAGTTCAGATCCGCAAACAACTACCCTGACTATCAATGGGGCCCAGGCTGAATATGAGGCTATTACTGTCAACTGAGTGACAGCAGTAGTACTCAATCCACATTGACCCAGGCAGATGGGGAAGTGAGACAGACACAAACCCCTTCCCAAACTCTGTCTTCCTTTTCTTCCAGCCCCAGGAAGGCTGTGAACAAAGCCATGAACAGGTCTAGCCCAGGTCACCTGGATCTGGCCCCAGGCTGTCCTTCACTCCAGCCCTCCATTCAGGAAGTCAGGAGTGAACTGGGGTCTGGCAGAACACCTAAGACCTCTAGTCCAGCCAAGCAGAAGGTCAAGGGAAATGACGTAAATTTTTGTTGGCGGGTCACTAAGAACATTAATGGATGGAGGAGCCACTCCAACTCGCTCCCTGATTCCTGGACCATGAATTGTGGCTGTGGGAGGAACAGCACCATATATTAGCCACGAATGGCAAAATATACCCCTCCTGGAAGATACAGCCCCAACCCTACATGTTCTTGCCACCTCGCTGGTGTAGCAAATGAGTCTTCTAACAGCCATTAAACCATTCATTTAAGATGAATGGTCTCAGGATGTTGGTCCTCCTTTTCTCTCTCCATCACAAGCCACCTTGGGATTGTCGCATGCCCTCTCAGCCCATTCCCTTCCCTCTCAAGTGCATTTTGCAGATTCTGTGCTCTAAGGTCCTAAATCTGTAGAACTTCAGGGTAAGAAGTGCTGGTCACCCACAGGGGGCCCCAGGCAGCTGGCCCAGGATCAGAGGCACAGGCAATAGTGTAGCACCCCATAGGGCTGCATCATGGGCTCTGGGTGGAGGAGAGAAACCAGAAACCACTCCCCTGAGTGTCTTCAGTCCCAGGTGAACTAGGAAGGGGCCACTGAGCTCGGCTGAACCCACCTGAGTCTCCCCTGTTTCTGGCCCAGCAGCAACATCCTGGAGGCCCCTATATGTGCTAAGCAGCCACCAAAGAACCCGATTAATTACCTGGAAATTTCCCCCACTGCACACGACTACTCAAGACTCTTGCCACCAAATTACTCACTTATTAAAATAGCACAGTGAACCTCAACTGGCTTGAATCCAGGACCTCTTTCAGACCCTTCCAGACCCTCTCACCTACCAGACCCTTCCCACAGGGGCCCGACTCCGCCGTTCCCTGCACAGCTCCTGGGACTTGTTCCTTCTTTCAGTCCTGACTGCAGTTCCAGAGACACACCCCCATTAAGGTCTCCCAGGCTCTTATTATAATACAACCTACCTGTCATTTTCTGCCCCAATCTTTTAAATTTTCTGCATAACATTTACAACTGTAAGGTTCTTTGCCTATCATTATTTTATTAATTGATTGATTTGTGTCAGTTATTTTCCTAATTAGTCAGCAATACTTTTTAACCACAAAAGCACACATATGAGAACCAGATGCACAAACAGCTAAGGGCGTATTTCTCCCTGCAGTAATACCCGCCACTTCCACGAAGACACCGTGTCTTTCTCACTTTCTGTTCCACCATCCGTACGATGTCGGCCTTGTTTTCATCCTTGCTGATGTAAGACCTCAGGGTGGCTGCTCCAGCTCCAGCTACCACACCCATAATCAAGAGGAAAAAGGCCTCATGCATCCAGCGGATTTCTTTCCTTCACAAGAGCAAAACTTTCCTAAGAAGAACCTCACCCATTGACCTCACATCCCACTGATCAGGCCTGAGCCATATGGTTAATCTCCACTGAGAAGGACCTGGGAATCACAGGCACCTGTCTTTTCAGATAATATAGAAGACAGTTCTCGGGCTGAAGGTGGCAGGGACTGTCTGCTGGGTCTGCAAACCCATTTACACTGCACGGCCAAACCAACATGACAAGCAACTCACTTCAAGAAGGCTGTGTCTTGTTCCTGCCAAATTCCCAACATGGAATGTGACCCAGCCCAGAGTGGGTGGCAGTAAACATTTGTTGGGTGCATCTTCTTCTGTCTCTTACTTTG